TTTCAGTGTAGGACAGTCCACTAATAAGCATATTTGCCCTTATTCCCCCAGTCGTTCAACTTCTGAGCTTAGAATTTTTAAAATCTTTTTGAGATTTTATTATGTTGAGATTTGTTTTCATTCCACATCATCTTCAGCCAAGCTCTGAGCACTTACAATTCTCTGGAAAAAAAAGAAGATAAGATTTAAATTTGGAAATTATCACAAGTATTAATCAGGATTCAAAGTTTAACATAAAACTCTTTATAGTCTGAGACTCAAATCTACTACAGTTTATCTCTTCTGACATTTAAACATTAACACTTTATACATTGATATTACCTAAAAAATGATGTTTCACATTACCAGTTCCATTATAAAAATTCAAATTAACAAAAGAAACACTGCATTATGTTACATCTTAATCATTACATAACTTAAAAAGAATTTAACACATATCACTCCCACACAAACTAGGAATAGCAATTAATATTTTTAATGATTGTTCTATGCTCTACCATTCCCTCTTTTGACTCAAAGCCATTGAAGGATTATGGCACAGTATTTTTTTTTCCTTTTTTGCACTGCTGTGGATCAAATCCAGGAGCAAGCTGTCTATCACTGAGCTACATCCCCAGCCCACTTGAGACAGTCCTCGTATGTTGCCCAGCCTGCCTTAAATTTACAATTCTTCTGCCTCAATTACATAAGCATCTATAATCACATACAGGTTTTATGTCAGTTTAGAAATACTGTATTCTAAAATTAGCAGTCTCAAAACATTTCTAGAAACTGTAAATAAAATTAAAACTTAAAAAGGCAGTTTTCATAAAAAGGAATTTAGGCTTTATCCTGAAGTCAAATTCCCAAAAACACTATTGTTGCGAACTCAATACCCACTGCAGCAGTACTGAGAAATAGAAGATCTTTAATGAATCTCTTTATACGTCACCCAGAACCAATGTTATGTTACCGAAACACAAAGCAAACCTTGACTGTCCTTCAAATAGCATAAAACACTAAACAAATGACTCTGGCATGATTAGGTTAGAATCACATTAGTTTAATTTTTAAGAGATTCAGATTCACTGGCTTTTCAACTCTTTTCCTCACATATCTGGTATTTTTATTTTCTGATCGTTTTTTTCAATCTAGCCGAGTAAAAGTTACGCAGAAAGGGCTCAGGGCTGGCAAGATATCTCAGCAGACCAAGCACATGGTTAGGCAAGTACAGGGACTGGGATTCCAGCCCCAGCACCACAGGTCCCAGCCACTGGCTCGCTCTAGCCACTGAGACCAGGTGTGGTGATACACGCCTATAATCCTAGAGCTGGAGAAGCTGAAAACAGGAGGATCACTTCCAGTCTGAGCTGCAGTGAGACCCTGTGCCAAATACATAAAAAAATTAAACAAATAAAAAATGAGGGCTGGGGAGATGGCTCAGTGGAATAAGCATTTCCATGGCAAGCACAAGGGCCTGAGTTCAATCCCCAGTTCTGAAAGAAAGAAAGAAAGAAAGAAAGAAAGAAAGAAAGAAAGAAGAAAAGAAAAATACATTTAAAAAAGGGGTCAGTGGTAGAATGCTTGTCTAATACAGAGACCCAGAATTACCAAAAGAAAAGTTTAAAACATTAAGTTACTAACCATAAGATTCTGTCACGTCATTTTACTAATTTTCACCTGCACAAAATTGCAAAATTAATATACACACTATTCTAAAAAACATATTGGTTGGGGGCTTGTTGAAAGAACTCAAAAGCAACAGAATACTTAATTCACTTTTTGGGATTTTTTGAGACAGAGTCTTGCTGTATAGTTCAGGCTGGCCTCAAACAAACTGCAATTTTCCTGCTTCAGCCTCCCCAGTGCTGGGATTATAAGTGTGAGTCACAATATTCAGTTAATTCTTACATTACATATAAATTAATCTTTTATATATTGTACAAGGTATTTTTCACTTTTGATTAAGAATGCAGTCACATAGCTCTAAACTCAAAGCCCACTTCAACAGGCTCAGAGACAGACTTTACTTTTAATAATGTCTGAGAGTCCACACTCATTTATGCCTAGTGTACAATCAATGCCATCTCAGCTCCCATGTCCTGTCAGGTCACCTAATGAAGGTGACCCAGAAGAGTAGCCAGAAAACTAATTTTTGAAGCATAAGAGTGGCCTGAAAAAAAAGAGTGGCTTGAATTTAAAGACCTGAACACAAAGGCAAGAACACATCCTTGGGCTGGGGAGACAGCTCAGTAGACTAAACCTTGCTTAGCAAGCACAAGGTTCTCAGTTCAATCCCTGGTACCGCAAAAAAAAAAAAAAAAAAAAATCCACATTCTTGAGTCACCACTAGAACACAATCACTAAGACTTAAAACGCTTAGATTTTCTGTTGTTGTTTATTTCTTGAAGACAGTCTTGTTATATAGATCAAACTGGCCTTAAACTCACTGTATAGCTCAGGCTGGCCTGAAACTTAGTGATCCTCCTGCCTCAGCCTCCTGAGTCTTGGAATTATAGGCATGTGCCACCATGCCCTGTCTATATCCAGTTATTTAGATGTTATATCATTAATGGGAATTTTCAGGCACTGGTCTATTAAGCATTTTATGTTCACTAGCCTCATATATAACTGTCCCTAAACATTCAATTTTTAGGTCCTACTACTCACTTTGAATTCATCATATTCCAATTCCTTACCTGACTGATTGTTGGGAGCTTAGTGAGAAGCATCTGGAACACCGGTGGTGGAAGAGTTTGCTGTAACACCTGCAGCAACTGCTGTGGCTGTCCACATACAGCAATTGCATTTGTCAGATGGTCCACACCCTTCTCATATTCACCTGCAAAATTTACATAAAATTACATGTAATCTGAAAAGCTGTAACTGTCATAAAAAATGAATCTTGTTACTGCGTCCTAGTGACGCTGACAAAAACTATGTGAGTAAACCTGGACATATTATGAAACTATTAAGAATCCATCATATTATATGCACTAATTTGGAAATATCTCCAATATACACACAGAAGAGGGAAATTAAGATGCTGAAATACCCAAGTACCTATTGTTTACACAACTAAAATATTCCTGAAACATCAGGACAGAAGACTAGAAGCTGAGGTTGAAAAAAACGAGACCAAGTTTCACTAAATTTTAATTGCTGGGGATATAGCTCAGTGGCACAGCACCTCCCTGGCAAGCACAAGATCCTGAATTTCATTTCTGGTTCCAAAAGCCAATCAGCCAATCAATCAATCAATCAATCAATCCTCTCTACCTGCTGAACGTTAGTCCATGGAAATAAAAGAAAATTTTAAAGTGACACTAAAAATAAAAAAAGAGAACATACAATAGAAGTATGACAGAATGTTAAAACAATGATTGCCTCTATACACACACAATTCTCGAAGATTTAGTTTTTGAAGGTTCATTTAATTCAATAAATATTAAGTATGTGTCATGTGGTCACTGTCCTTAGTAAATTCTAAGCAGAAATCCAAAGAACTGTTTTAAATTCTCTGAGCAGAACTTTATGCTACTACAGTTTCAAATTAATTACTGTATACAGGTCTTCCCTGAAGAATCTGTTTCAAAGTACCATAAACAAACAAACAAACCTCTTGGTCCACTGTGTCCTTTTATCTCTGGTTTGCTGAACAGTAGCCCTATCTATGGCCATACCAGCCTGAACGTGAGTGATTCCACCTCAACAGTGGCTTTTATCACCTTTGCTCCAAATTAGCCTTTCAAAGATATCTGAACAGTGCCCATCTTTGGTGTATTCAGGGTCTTCCTCTCAATTAAAGGTAGTTTGTACACTGTCGAGTATAACAACATCTATGTTTAGGGTAATGGACAAACTCACTGTCCCTTATGAGTCAGGTTCCCTAAATTCATGACTCTTCTATTACCTCTTCAATCTACCTACAAAAAATAAGTGTAGAGCCAGGAGTGGTGGTATATGCCTGCAATCCCTGCACTTGGGAGGATCTTTTCAAGTTCAAGACCAGCATGGGCTACAGAATGAGCTCAAGGCCAGCGTGAACTGCATAGGGAGACCATGTCTCACACACAGACATACACACAGAACTAAGTGTAAATCAGTATCCTGGCTACTACTATTACAAATCACTCCATTGTCTCTAAACCAAGAGTATTGTATCTTCTGCTAGCATCTGTAAAACTGGGGCAGAGTAACCTGTGAGCATTTAAGTTAAAAATCTCAGACCTCTCATGGTTCTTGATATATTAAGATCACTTATAAACTAAGCTTTTATTTACTAAACAAAATTTCATGATTCACAGGCTGTGCTGACACACAACTATAATCCTAGCAAGCCAGCTGGCTAAGGCAAGATAGAAAATTCAAGCCCAGTTCACATAATTTAATGACTCAGCAACAATCTACCTTAAAATAAAAAAGGGCCAAGGACAGTATTCAGGCACTGGATTCAATTCCCACTACTTCAAAAATAGGAAACAAAATGAGCTTGCAGTTACTAAATCAAATGTTAAGCAATGCTTTTTAAGTTTTGCCTTTAAATATCCTCCCTAACCAAACAGCACAAATGTTGACCAGATTCAGATTTGAAACAAACAGTCAATGATTCAGGAAGGCCCAAGTAATAAAAAACAAATCAGGGGTACTACAAACTGTTGTATTCTGAATCTGGTGGGGTTTTTGTTTGTTCTTTAACAAGGACAACTGTGACTTCAAAGAAATTTTTTTTAATTTTGGGAGAACCAGGGATTGAACTCAGGCCCTTGCGCTTGCCAGGGAAGTGCTTATTCCACTGAGCCATCTCCCTGGCCCCAAAGAAATTTTAGACCATAGCCACTAACTTAACTTTTCTTCCTCTTACAGACTGGATTGCACATCCTACTATCCTGATGAACTTGAAGGGGTAAATGTCCTGGAGAATAACCACCATCAAGCTCCCTGTATATAACCTTGCACAGCTCTCACAACTGCCACTCCTGCTGTTTCTTCTGGGGGTCCTAAATCTGATATGTGATGGTGTTTCTTGTTCTACCACTGCCTGCTGCTGTGGAAACACAGAAACTTTAATCCTATGTTTGAGTACTATAAGAGTAAAGGTTTCTAAATCCTCACAACCATGATCAGAAACAGCTGAATCAATGTGGGATTATGGCTGTCCCATCTATGAAGAGTTCTTCAGTACACCTCCTATTGTGTTGACCAGTGTCACCTGGTTGTATGCTGCCATCATTTTTATCTACTCACTCAAATCCATTCCTCAGTACAAAAATGATATATAATAATGTCCATCTTCATAAAACCTACTCAGGGCTGTGCACTAACCCAGCTGTCAGTTCATGCAATTTGTACGTGCGAGATTGGCTGATCCAGTCAGCACCTGCTTGTAAACAGACAACATAAAGGCCTGTCCTTATGAATGAGAACTTTCAATTACATTTTCTTAGGACCCAAAATGCTGAAGAATTAGCTAGGACACATTGCCACAACCTCAATTTCAGTTGATTTGTCAGCTTCTGCTCCCTTTCTGTGCCAAGAGAATATTGCTACAACTTCTGCTAAGGAGGTAGATCACAGGTAGAACCTATTATTACCTCTTAACAGAACTGAAACCATACCATGAAGACAAAACCCAGCAGTCAGTACCATTCAGGATTAAGCAGTGATTTAGCATGAAAGGTATGCTCTCCTCACTCTCCCCAAGGCCTGGATCACCTCTCTCTAATCACTAGGGAAAAATAAAGTAGGCAGCCTATAATATACATAGAAGTATTCCCTGATCTTTATTTTGTATTGTTCTGCACTTAAAAAGATATTCTGATCAGCCTTTCTATTCATTTTTATCTTTTGTGACTCTTTAGGTGAATTTAATAGAGCAAACTGTAACCATGTTAAATTATTTTTTAGGAAAGGGGAAACATGACAAAAAATAAAGTAGGCCACCACCACTCTAGCACATTCATAATGTAACCTTAATTCTTATGTGTTGCTACTGAGTGACTGTCCCACCAGATTACATGGGACAGTCACATATGTACCTCCAGTGGTTTCAAATCAATGGGATCATATTAAATGGTTAAAATCTTCCCATAAAAGAAATAACATGCATAAACTGGGGAGAGAGCTCAGTGGTCTAAGTGCCTGCCTGACAAGCACAAGGACCCAAATTTGATCCCTGGTACAACACACCATGCCAGCCCTGGAACCAGGTGCAGTGGCACATGCCTGTAATCCCAGAGCTGGGGAGGCTGAGACAGGAGGATCACTATGAATCTGAACTGTATAGTGGATCAAATAAAAAATAAAAGAAAAAAAAAAAAGAAAACAAATGCCCCACATTGTGTAGCTCAATCCTGTTTCAATCTAGTCATAAACTAGGCATTTTCTATTTTTTTGAATCCCCTTCTTGATGATTTTTTTTTTTTTAAATCTTTTTGAGATAGGGTTTCCCTATGCAGTTCAGGCCAGCCTGGAGCTCACTTCATAGCTCAGGCTGGTCTCGAACTCACAGTGATCCTCCTGCCCTGGTCTTGCAAGTGTTGGGATTACAGGTATGCATCACCATGTCCGGCTTTGGTATCATTTTTTAATGATAGCAACTCTTAAAAGGATTTATAGCTGGGTGTGGTATTCTGAGCACTTGAGAAGCTGAGGCACAAAAATCACCACAACACCACAAGTTTTTGACCAGCCTGGGCCACATAGTGAGTTCAAGGCCTGACTCACCTTTGGCAACATATTGTCTCAAAAAACTAAAAAAAAATATATAGTTTCTCAGATGTCACTTTGATTAATTTCAATAGGAATCATTAAAAACAAAAACTTCTTGGTGACACATTCTATTTTATGGAATGAAGTATTACTAAATTCTACAACTGCAACTAAATACCGATTAAGACCCTTAAACATAACAAAAACAAAAAACCCTCCATTAATACTACTGATAGAATAAATAAGTCAAAAACAAATGAAAAGGCTTAAATCTGGTAACTGGCTGATTCTGATATGAAGTGCTGTGAACTCACCATGTGACCATGATTAGGTAAATTAACTTTCTCTGGGACTTATATTAGCCATTCCTTCTTATAAACACTGGAAAAACCCTGAAGATTAGATGACAGACTTCAGGAATACAGTCTTCTTATTCCTTCATTTATTATTTCTATTATACTACAACTATATATCCTAAACTAAGAGTATCTTCATTTGTAAAAACTACTCAATACATCATCTATATGATGGAGATAATAATGATGACAATAGAGAAAATAAACCTATAACTAACTTAAAATACATGATGGAAAATAAAAATCCATAAGGACTATTTTTAGAGCCAGTCCTATATAAAATAATCCATACATCACTGTCTAAAACCCTGCTTTGATATGTTTAGAATATTCATTCTTAAAAGGGCAGGCTATAAAAGAAAATTCCCTTCTTACAGTATCACAAACATGTATTGCTGTGAAGAACTCTATCTAGTTGTAATGACTATTACCTTGAGCCAGTAACTCTTCACCAAGCTGTATTTCTTCAAGGAAAAATTTCTGAACAGCTTCAGCATCTTTAAGGTCAGGTAACTGTTTAGAAACAGAGTATTTAAAAATTATTATGAAAAATTACTGCAGAACAATAAGTAGATAGAAAAAAATCAAAAAAATTTCACTTTATTGAATAGATCACTTTAACATGTGAATAAATTTACTCTTCAACACCACCTGTAAGTTTAATAACTACTTTAAAATGAAAGAAAAACATTAAATCGATCAAACTGGTCTTACCTGAACAGTTCTTTGAAAGTTTGAATGAAATATAAGTAGAAAATGAAGGGTACAAATATCTATATTACACATATACTTTCTTCTTTTTGTTTTCAAACATGGTCTCATTTTATGTCCAAGGCAGTCTTAAACTAGCCCAGGACTAGACTTGAATTCACAATCATCCTCCCTCAAATTTTGGGATTACAGGCATGTGCCACTATATCTAGCTGCACTTTTATTTTGTGCCACTTTGTAGATTTTTAAGTAATTAGAATTTATTCTCTTTAACATTTCATTTAGATTATATGCATTGAAAAAAGGTTAACATATCAAGTAATATGAACTGCATACTCATCTCTGCTATTTCTAGTTTTTGTTACTATTAGCAGCTTTACTATTATGTACTTTGTTACACACCACCAGACGAAATGATTATATGAAGCCAACAAATACATGACTTGCTTTTTTAAAAAAAAATACTGGGAGTGGTGATGCACATCTGTATTGCTGAGGCCAGCCTGACCTGCACAGTGAGACCCTGCTTCAAAAATCCTAGACTTCGGGCTGCATCCGGATATAGCTCAGTGGCATAAGCACCTGCCTAGCAAGTGCAAGGTCATGAGTTCAATCCCTGGTTCAAAAAATAAAACAAACAACAACCCCTCCCCCCGAATTCTAGTTTTTGATTTTTACATACACATGATCTAGTATGTGAAAAGAGATTTCTGAACAGAGAGGCATCTTTCACTGACTATCGCACCATATAGTAAAAATTTGAATCTAAAATGACTGGGGATGTAGCTCAATGAGACATGGGAGGCTTTGGATTTAATCCTCAGCACTTCGAAGCTTAGCAAAAGAAAAACACAAATCCTTGCTTATGGATGTCTCCATTTTCCTATATCCTTCCAAAGAAAAGTTATAATAAACATACTGTCTCTCAAAAAGGTCATTTGGATTTATCAGGCCATTTGGATATATAAGAACAAAGTAGTTTTCTCCCATTTTCTCTTTACTATTATCATATCTAGTCAATTAGCTATGGCACTGCTCAACTGTTTCAAAATAACGAAATGTAACATTATTTATTTTTTCCTGGCCCTAACTTAAAAGAACCACTAGAGATGCAGTCTCGAACCCATGCTCTGAAATCCAAACAGAACCAATTTCAGTAGGAGGAAAAGTAGCATGCACAATTGTCTTATTTACTTACATATGTCACAGAACATTTTTTGTCTAGTAGGTAACCCTATGAAGTCATTTTAAATAACAATGAACACAGGACCTAAAAAAGCAAAAAATGAATAATAAGATTTATGCACCATAAGGTAAAATTTGGATTAGACAGGTATGAATAATTTTGATCAGTTGGAAATGAGTAGTATGTGGTTCTTTGAAAGGAGGTGGAACAAGGAAAACTAAATCAATATGTTACATTCTATCATTTGAAGCAGCTGAGTAAAAATATTTCAAATTTTTATAATAAATGTTTTTGGGAGATCATTTTACTGCCTCTACTGTTTGTACAATATATTCTTTGTTGCTACTGCCAATAATGGGAAAATACTGAAGGACTGGATCATTTTCAGTAATTTAAAATAGAAAGTCAATGTCAATCTAACTATCTGAAAATATACATCTAAAGTAGTACCTTCTTAGATAACACAATCCAAACAAAAAGCAAACTTAATGTATTACCTTAGAAAGTCCAGCTCTCTCCTTGGCAAGCTTCTGTTTCTTTCTTCCTACAAGAAATGTAAGATAATATTCGTATTCTGCCATTATCAAAACAAGAATCAAGAAACAGTCTAAATACTGTGGGTGTCATTTTCATTTACAAAATATTCCCAACTCTACAACTGGGGCCCTTTCAGGCTTTCCCTGGACGCTGTCAAGGTTACACAAGATTTGTAGTCATAAGTTATTGGTAATGTGACATTTCTGGGCAGGACCTTAAAAATTCTTCTGGGTCAACAGGTTCAGCAATTCACAGGATGCAGACAGCTCTAACAAATGAACCTCCACAGTGCAAAGCCCATATCTAACCCATACAGGATGTGTAATAGGCAAAGAATTAGGTTACTGCTATTAGAGAGCTTTATTACTAAACTGAGATTATTAACTGTTTGAAACTAGCAAATTTAAATAAAAAAGGTAACAGTATTTAATAAAATTTTCTAAAAATACAGAATTAAGGCATGTGAAAAAAATACAAAGAGGAGCCAGGTATGGTGACACATACCTGTAATCCCAGAGATTCAAAAGGTTAAGACTGGAGGATTACATATTCCAGGCCAGCCTGGGCAACAATGGAGAGACCCTGTCACTTTTAAGGCTTGGGATACAGCTCAATGCTCCCTGGATTCAATCCCTAGTGTGTGTATGGGGGGAAGCTGCTGTCAGCTGAGCAATGATGCCATAGACCTCAGTGCAAGAGCTCTGGGTAACTGAGGCACAGTACCACCAAAGGGAAAGAAACAAATCCACAATCTGGGTTGTATGTAAGTTTTGATATGACATCAAGCAATACTATCAGGTGTGATAAGAAGGTGTTGACACACAAGTACACATAGGCTTTGAGCCTAAATGTCCTCATGTGGATCCTGCCTCTTCCACCTAAAGTAACCTATACCTCACTTTTTCTATAAAGCAGGTCTCTAACAACAGTATCTATTTCATAGGAGTTTTATGAGGACTCAGTAAGCTAAAACTGTAGATGTATTTTTTAAAGGTCTTTCATTTTTAACATGTGCCGCAAAAACAACTGGAATGAGTCAGTTCCCTCAGATAAGGATTTGCACTAAAAACCTAGGAAAGTAATAACTAAAAAGCTACAATGGCATGACAACTGTGTGGTAGAACTAAAAAAACCTAAGGGTCTATTTATTAGCTAGGTAACCTTAGACAAATCTATAAATGTCTTTTAACACTCTACTGATAAGGCCTGTATCTTAACCCATAGTATTGCTGCAAGAAATAAATCTACAAATCCTCCAACTACCTATGACTAAAAAGTGACCAGTTTGTCTAATCTAGACAGATGGTTAATTAGTAAACCTAGTCCCTGTCCCCCACAATATCCCAAATCTCTGCCAATTTAAGATTTAAATACAAAGACTTTCAACAGAAAAATAAATATAGATTAAAGTTGACCTTATAAATTCCTTTGAAGAAGGCCAGCTACCTTAACCTAAAATGTTCATCTGTGTGACTAACTGGAGAAACACACAATTCCACCGTTGAGTTAAGGGCTTGGCTCTTTTTAGGCTGAAAATACTGAGCGGGATTACCTAACTACTAAACAGCACAGTACAGACTGAAGCTTGTAGTGCAATAGGAACACTGTAAGACTTCATGAAAACTGGACATGAACATAAGAAACATTCAAATATTAAGCACTCAGGTTTCAGACACAACACAGACACTTCTATTTTGCTTATTTCTCACAATAACTCTAATGTCCAGCCCGTCCCTGTGCTGTGTGTCTGAGTACAACGGAAGGGACATTTTTTTTTTTTTTTTTTTTTTTTGTTGCAGAACCTGGGATTGAACTCAGGCCCTCGTGCTTGCCAGGGAAGCACTTATTGCACTGAGCCATCTCCCCGGCCCCTCTCACAATAACTCTAAAACAGGTATTGTCACCTCCATTTTATTGGTGAGAACATTTACCAACGTTAAAACTAGTAAATGATTAAGTGGCTACTCATAGCCAGTAGAACTTCAGAGCCAGGTCCTCAGTGAAATACACACTCATCGAAGTAAAAAATACCTTCAGAAACATGGTGGCAAATCTGTGGAACAATGAAAAATATGCTCAGCCAGAATTTAGGGAAAAATAGCTCAGTACAGTGAAACTTAAATTTCATCACAATCCAAACTCTTAAGAGTAGGGAAAAACAATGTAATTATTAAATGCCTATGACTAATACTTTCATCAAAGTTTAAGCTTCCTTAGCTGCTTTTCATTTTTAGTAAAAAGATTAAAATTTTGAGCTGGTTCCCACCTGCAATGGCAGCATTCTGTGAGGCTGATAAAGAAAGATCCCAAATTTGAGCAAAACTTGAGCAATTTAGACCCTGTCTCAAAATAAGAAATTAGAAAAGGGCTATGAATGTAGCCTAGTGGGAACATCCTGGGTTCAATTTCCAGTACTGAAAAGATTAATATTCCAACTTTCTTTTTATAACACAATAGCAGCATTTCAATGATAAAGGAATAAATTTATTCCTTTAAAAAAAACCCCAAAAAACAAGAGCTACACATTCAACCAGCAAAATTAGGTCCTTGCTCAACATTTGCTGACATTAGCCCCCAATGCTATCATGTAAACCTAACATTTAAAACTGTATGTCTAAAAAAAAGGGGACTTGCCCAAAGCTTAGCTGTTTAAAGCGCTGCTTGGGCAAATGCAGTCATATGCATGGGACCATAGTTCAAACCCCAGGCCCACAAGAAGACGCACCACACCCACCCTTAAGACAGCTAGAACTAGTCCCCTGCAAAAAAAAATCCTTCTAAAAAAAAAAAAAGGAAATCATCAGTTAAAACACATCTCAAGTTTACATCATTCAAAATATACTCATTTTAATAAGACACTTGTCAAATGCTGTATTATTTTATACAGTATTATATAAATAAAACATCTCTGTAAGTGGCACTGACTTGGAAGTTAAATCTCAGCATGCCTTCCCACCCCCACAGGTCTTTTCTGTAATTTAGGCTTGACATAAATGTGCCATCCTTCTAGGTTAACCTCCCCAAGTGCTGGAACAGGCATGTACCACTAGACTGAGCTTAAATTTTACTTAATGATTTAAAATAAATTGGGGACCGGTCAGATAGCTCAGTGGATTAAAGCGCCTGTCCCTGGCCTGCCCTGCTGGCCATCTCTGAGATGGCCATTGAGACTGGGCGTGGTGGCATGCCTGTAATCCCAACACTTGGGAGGCTGAAAACAGGAAGGATCACTACAAGTCCGATCTGTGTAGTAAGACCCTGTAGACCTTATACTAAATACATTAAGAGAAAAAACTATATACAAGAGTAAGTTGGGTGTGGTGATACATGCCTGTGATCCCAGAACCCAGTGATTAGTAGGAGTGAGTTCAAAGCCAGCCTAGGCTACATGGTAAATTCAAGTCTAGCCCGAACTACATAGTGAGACAGAACAAAACAGATTTAATATAAATTATTCTTTTAAGAGTATTAATAGGAACAGGAGTTGTGGCATACCCCTATAATGCCAGCACTCAGGAGGCTGAGGCAAGAGCACCACTGATCACTGCAAGTTCCAGGCCAGCCTGGGCTAAGGATCAATACCTTGTCTTAAAAAAAAAAAAAAAAAAAAAAAAAAAGCCCGGCGTGATAACCCAGCATTCTAAAACCCCTGCTTAGGCAGAACACAGAAGCCAGGTTCAATCCCCAGCTTGCCATGTGAGCCCTCCCTCCAGGCGCGTTGAGATGGTGATAGAGACTGGGCATGGGGGCGCCCATCTGTAATCCCAGCACTTGTGAGGCTGAAAACAGGAGAATCACTACAAGTCCAATCAATGTAGTGAACCCTGTAGACTTTGTAGACCCTGTCCTAAATAGAGAAGAAGGAGAGAAGGGGAGGGAAGGGGTGGGGAAGAACTGCAGCCAGGGCACAGTAGCACACGCCTGTAATCATAAATATTCAGAAGTGGAGGCAGCAGGACCACAAGTTTGAGGGCAGCATGAAAAACAGTGAAAGTTTTTAAAGGGCTGGGAAGCAGAACATGGTGTCACATGCCTATACTCTGAACAACAGGGAAGGCTGAGGAAAGAGGATCTCAAGTTTAAAGGTCAGACTGGATCAATAAGTGACATTCTCAAATATTAAAAAGAGGATGGAGATGTAGTGGTGGTAGAGCGCAATGTTTCATGTGCTTGAGACCCTTTGTTCAACATTTAGCACACAAAAATTCTAATAATGCAAAATAAAAGGTCTAAAAAATTAAGACCCCAGACCTAACCTCAAACCTCATTTTTAACGTCTGCATAAAAAAAAAAAAAAAAAAACACCAAGAAAGCCAACAAACAAAATGACTAATTCGAGAATCCTTTTTATTTTTGTGGCAAATATTGTATTGGAAATTCACTTAGAAAAATTCAAAATTAAAAGAAATGAAGCAAAACTAATTCTCATAAGCTTGATATTCAAATTCTGCCACTTACAAAATTATATTTAAGAACTCCAAAATTAATCTGAATAATTTTACTTGCTAGCAAATATTTCAAATTTTTATTTATAGAAAGCTAGCATTCATCAGTTAGTACATGTAAGGGACAGTACCACAAGTCATTTTACAAAAATGGAAAAGTAATGCTTGAAACTGTTTAAAGATACTGGGGGGGGGGGGCCTGGCCCTAGCTCAGGCCTTTAAGTGGCTGCTTCCACAAAGCTGTCAGCCTCAGGTTGCTGGAGTTCGAACCTCACACCTCTCCCGCTGGCCAAAAGTGCCCTGAAGGCATTCGAGCAACAAAAAAAAAAAAAAGATACTGGTATAGACAGTAATTCACTTAAATCCTTAGCTTCTTCTAAAGCCAAAAAATTTCTTTGATTAAAAATACGGAAAAGGGGCCAGGGAGATAGCTCAGTAGAATAAGCACCTGCCTGGCAAGTGCAGGGTCCTGAGTTCAATCCCTGGTACCACAAAAATATATAAATAAATGAATAAAAAATAAAAAATTGACCATCTGGATTGGTTTGAGGGTTGGCCAAATAGGTCCAAGGATTAAAGTGCCTGCTTAAGCAGACCAGGGGCCAGGGGTTACATCCCAGGGCCTGCCATGCAGGCCCCACCCCTGGGGCGCCCAGTGATTGACACTGGGCTTGGTGGCAAGGGCCTGTAATCCCAGCACCTGGGAGGCTGTAAACAGGAGGATCACTCCAAGTCAGATCTATGCAGTGAGACCCTGAACACCCTGTCCTAAAAATGCAAAAGAAAAAAAATTCAAAAATAACATTCCTCAGTTTGTCTAAAATAGTAACTGTGATTTATTTAGCCAAAAATCAGTTGCTCAAAGTTTTCACAAAAATGAATCCACTCTTAGAGCTCTGCATCCATTTTTGAAACTACAGTATGTTCCAACAGTTACATTTGAACAGCCAGTATTCAGTGGAAAACCTTTATGTCTGAAATATGATGTGCATTATCTGACTTTTACAGTTACAATTGGATTCACGCACGGTGGTGGCATGTGCCTGTAAGCCCAGCACCCTGGGTGGTTGCTGCAGAATGACTGCAGATTTGATCTCAGTCTGGGCAATTTATTAGCAACACCCTGTCTCCCAAGTTTAAAAACGTAAAAAAGGTTTGGGTTGTAGTTCAGCTCAAAGGCCCTGGTTTAATCCCCAGTATCGCAAATAATTAAACAAATTTAAGATTCAGAAAGCCCAAGGCCATGCAGCTATCAGTGACTGAGATCTAGAAACCCAAGGTCTGACTCCAATATATCGTTCTTTCCAACAAGGCTAGAACTTGTATAGCGCATGTGTTCCCCACTTGCTAGACTACACGTGGCTGTGGAACGTTTGTGATTATAGGGATTATACCTTAACTAAATAATAATCAAGGTGCAGTACTTTCTTGGCTTATAAAAATACGTTATTCCAACAAATTTACTTTTATTCCTGTTGCAAATTAAGATAACCTCAAAATTCAACGCGGCTCACGATTGTTTCTTGGGTCAAAATCTCCCTCTGGTAAACACCTCTTTTTAAAAGATGTCGCAGGTCTGAAATAAGACTGAAGCCACAAGACAAGCGCAGCCCTTGGACTCCCCCGCAATTTCTCTAGCATTCACTCATATCTTGGAAGCACGTGACCGAAGCTGCCAAGAGGGTTTAAGAATGCATCATCTATAGGGAACTAGATTTACAGATTTAGGGTCAGGTTAACGTCGGTCACACACAAAAAGCCCGATTTCTCTGGATTAAGAACAGAGACTTTAAAAGGCGAATTTCGCAAAAGCAGACCATTTAGGCGTGGTGGCACGGTCTGTAATTCTAGCATTTTGAGAACCTGAGGCAGAAGGCTCTCACGTTCGAGTCCAGCCCGAACAAGTTAGCGAGACTCTGAAAATACGAAATAAAAAGGAAGAGGATGTAGTTCAGCGCTCAGGCCCTAGGTTCAATTCTCTAGGACTGCCTCCGCGATCGCACCCCGCCACCCCCACGCCCTAGCGCAGTAACAGGAGTCAGAAGAATCTACACATCAGGCGAGGGAAACACAAAATGGGGCCGACCCTTCTTCAAGATGGAGGGACCGGGTGTGCAGGGCCAGGCCCCTGAGCCGCGCGGCGGCGCCATGTCTTCCCCAGCTACACGCAAAGCAACCGCCGAAGTGAGGCGCGGCTCCACTCACGTTCTCGAAGCCTGTTCTTGAAGTTGGGATCACTTCGCCGCTTGCGGTCGAAGTAAATGCAGTACCCGATGAAGAGGGCCCCGCACACGCCGGCGGCGATGGCGCTGTTCCGACCCACCATCTCCTTTCGACTTCACTGTGCCCGGCGCAGCGGGCCCGCTCCGGAGAGGTCGGCCACAAACCTGAGAGGCAATGGTACCTCCGCAGCCAAAGCCCGCTGAAGAAGACCGGAAGGACCGCGCAGGAACACTTCCGGGTTAACCCCACCCCCCAACACACACACTGGGCGCCTTTGGTAGCGCCTGCGCACAGCCGCTGGCTCGGTCGTCCCAGCTCGCCGGGCCACGCGGTAGCCGCGCGTGGTGCCGCTCTTGAGCCGCGGCGGACAGCGCATGCACACCCAGGTTTTGCTGCAAGGATGGCTTTCCGCCTCTGCGAGTTCAGAGGAGCATCTCAGCAGCAGAGGGCAAATTCAGGGAGCCGCAGGCAACCTCGCTGGAGAATCAAGATGGAGGGCCCCCGACGACAGCGTCTCATCGCACTGTGGCAAATGCAGCCTGTTAACTGTCCTGTTCGTATTTCAATTATAGTGACTAAATTTGGGCATTTTGAGGTGTGGGAGAAAAATGCAACTATTCCTCTAAAAATATGTAATCTTTAAAAGAAATGTTAGTGTAATCCCAGCACTTGGCTAGCAGTGAGACCCTGTACATCCTGTCCTAAAGAAATAGGGCTGGGAAGGTGGCTTAGTGGAAGGAATAAGCGCAATCCCCGGTTCCGCAAAAAAACAAAACAAAACAAAAAAAAAAAAACACTGTCCTAAATAAATAAAATGAAATGTAAGGAGGGCCAGGGATATAGCTTAACAGCACAGTGCCTGTCTAGCAAATGCAAGGTCCTGAGTTCAATTCCCAAGAAAACTAATCCTGAGTAGCACTTTTCTGAGTTAATGGAATTGGAAAACTTGCAACATGTGCCCACCCCATCAGATGTGAGGCCCACCTTGAAGAGGACTGTGCCTTAACCTAAGAAGCTTGAGCTGGGTATGCGGCTCAGCCATGTACATAGCACCTGCTAGCAAGTTGTAAATTCCACTGGGGGGCGGGGGGGGGGGGTTGAAGAGAAGCATGAAACCACTGATAAGACAGTACAACCCTCTTACTTCACCAATCAACATATTTAGGGCATACAGTCACAGAGTTTGGTCAAGAACTGAGACATCTTACACATCAGTTCAAAGCTCCTTGCCTGTGACCAACAGGAGCAAGATACTCTTCTGGAGTAAGAAAATTCTTGGGTAGGTGATATGAAGGATTCCTGTTTTCTCACTCTGAGTTAAGTCATTAAGCCTAGGATCATCAGCAGAAAACATTTCATGGGCTAGAGTCAGGAAAAGTTCATGAGAAAATGCTTATGATTAATCATGACTACTAATAATCTTTATTACAGTCATTAAAAATCAAATTGTAGACATTGATTACCACACCAGTATCTTCATGTAGCTAGATATACTGGTACTTTTTCCAGGTAACAGAGTTCCCGGAGTATGTCTGGAAAATATTTTTAAAAACACATTTTTTTTTAACCTACTGTCAAATGTATTTTAGACTATTAAGAATAACATACAAACTCTACTTAAGGGCCAGCCAAATAGCTCAGCGGATTAAAGTGCCTGCAAGCAGGCACAGGGGCCAGGGACTCAATCCCTGGGCCTGCCATGCCGGCCCTGACCCCAGGGCAGGCTGAGACTGGAATTGAGACTGGGCATGGTGGTGTGCACCTGTAATCTCAGCACTTGGGCAGCTATAAACAGAAGAATCAAGAATCCCATCTAGTAGTGAGACCCTGAACACCCTGTAGACCCATCCCTGAAATACAAAAATAAAAAATAAAAAAATAAAAAAAAAACTCTGAGAAAAATGGAAATTTTAATTATACTGTAACATGTGCAGCTGCCCAACCAAGCAAGAGTCACAAGTGTATGCACACAGGCTACATGTGCAGGGACAACCTATGTAATCTACAAATGTCATATCCTTATGCAAATGCAACGGGTCTTTATGATGTAGGTCTGTACAAGGCAGAGAACTCCATTTTCAAAGACTGGATCTTTTATGTTTTGTATCCCTTATTGTGTTTAAAGCAAGTATTTATGACCCAATTATAATTGGGTATTTTTTCATGTATTCCCATAAACTTAAAGATGCAATGTTTGCAAGCTATACATTCAAGATTGTATGTGCATATGTAGTGTTTGCACTGCTTTCTCACTGCCGAGGCAATAACCCAATACCTATAACTTTATCATTAAGAGAAAAGTTTATTTTGGCTTACAGTTTATAGATGTTTCAATCTACAGTTGGTTGGCTCCAAGGAGGGAGGCATAGCAGTATAGAGTTGCTCAACCCAAGGCAGCAGGAAGCAGACAGCTCAGAGGAAAAGAAAGGTAGATACATTCAGGTCACAACCTGTGACCCACCACCTCTGACCAGGCATCCTCTCTCAATATCACATTCAGCTATAAACTCATCTGTAGAGTTATCCACTGATAAGTATCATGCCCTATGATCTAATCACTTCCCAAAACGTCCACCTATGATTGTATGAGGTTCGGGGAGGTGGGAAACCATAACAGACAGGTTTTTTTTACATTTGTTACTACAGAACTGAAATTTTCACTGTAGGTTTTCCATATGCTATTATTCTCAAAAGACACTATTTTCAAAGCAGTTATAACTCATTATGTTCCCCACCCATCTGTCTGTAGTACAATCAATGTTCACTGAAGTCTCTGTTGAAAATCACCCATCCTGGGTACCTCCTCATCCCCAGGTCTCCTAGCTGGATACAGACAGTTTGGCAAGACCAGTGAAGGGATACCAACATATGACCCCAGAGAATGCAACAGCGT